AGAATAGCACCAGTTGCACAGCTCCCGATGCACACAGGACAACTTTTGACACACTGATTTATGAAGGTGCTCCCTGCGACTGTGCATGCAGCCTTGTACTGTTATCTATTGGCGTGTTACAAAACTAGTCTCAAAACCTTTTGATACCACCTCATATCTTCACCTGACCCCCTCCTGCTTACCAACTATTTTGATTAGTCAGTGAGGATGCCAATCCCTTAGCAGAAAACAATAAAGGGAAGGCAGACCTAAGTTCTTGAAATTGGTACTTGCATAAGGGCCTGTACCATCAGTTTTGGACACCTCTGAGATCATTTAGAATTAACTGATCCTATTCTTGCAGTCACATAGGACGTGTATGGAAATAGTTTACTGATACGAACAAAAGCCCATTGATTCTAATAGTTGTTTTGGGGGTTTCAAAGATCCTCATGCACTTTATAAACAGTGCTTCTAAACTCTGATAAACGGTCTAGCTCTTTATTATCTTTCACAGAGGTCACAGTCTTCAGCTTGACAATGCCTTCAAATGTTTCTCTAACCAGATAGACAGAGCCATCTTTGTTCAGGCATCATCCAGGACCATGGTGATTAGTGGACTTACTGTTTCATCAGGGATCACTTTACAGATGCTAAAGCAAACCAGACAGTAGCAGAGTTAGCAGCTTGATGAAGAGATCAGACAAAGATCATAAACAGTGTCCTGGTTGCACAATGGTAGACACGGCATAAACCAACTGTAAGGGACCACCCGGCGGTACCACCAGCACTCCACTAAATAGGCGTTCCCAGAGCACAGAGTCTAAGTCCCAGGGTGCTTGTTCACCAGGGCCCCTGATGGTGGGGATGGACTTGGAGCCCCCCGAGACCAGGTCGTGACTACTGGGCAAACCCGTTAGTGGTAGTGGTATTCGCCGAGGGCTCCCGCGGGGAAGAGCCTGATATGAGGAGGTCAGAAGACCCCACTGGGAGGGATGGACGGATGGATGGATGGCTGAGCAGGTGCGAGGTCAGACAAGCCGGGTCGGTAACAGGGAGGACGGTATGGTACAAGGCAGCGGGCAGAGAATAGTCGGGTCACACGCCAGGTCAGCAACAGCAGGTCAGATCCAATAGGGGGCATTCAAGAGAGAGGTCAGGCAAAGCAAGGGTCAGGGCAGGAGAAATACAGCAAGGTCAGAGCACAATCCGGGTCAGCAACTTACAATTCACAGGTTCACAGGATACAGGATACAGGTAAGACCAGAAGGCACTGAATGACAGCTCAGGGCCATTTAAATATCCTGCCCTGCGCTGCCATTGGTGCCCAGCGGGTGGCCGCGGCTTCTACTGCGCATGCGCGAACTCGACCGCCGCGGCCGGCCCGGACCTAGTGCCCGAGTCCCTGCACAGGGCGGCGCACTGCGCCTGCGCCGGAACCATCGCGGCGGGGATCGAGGAGATCCCTGACACCGACAATAGCGAGAGTAACAGGCTGATGTTAAAGGTAAGCAAACAAACCCCATACAATTCACAGGAATAATCCAGGGAATGAGCAAGCAGCACTCTTAGAATACTTAGATTCAGCCAGGAGCCAGGAGCAGGAAAATTGTCCTGCCTAACATAGACAACTGCCCTGATTAACAGAGACAGGATGAATGCCCAGCAAGCTATTCAAACTCTCCTGAATAGGGCAGGTGTGTGCTGCAGAGGCCTGCAGTTTAGGAAGGCTCAAGGCTGTCTGTCTCAGTCAGCATCTTCTTCCTGGACTGGGATTTTGGCTAGAAGTTGACACAAACGTAAATCTTGGTGCTGTTGTTGGCTGCTTTCACAAAAGTCTGACACGGATTAAGTCACTCTATTAGCCTCCCCCCTTGTGGTTTGCTACAAAATTGCAGTTTTGCAAGCTGATGAGTGGGGGAGGGGAGACTGAAAGGTAAAATTTGAAGTGGAACTGTAGTTTTTTTTTTTTCAAATATTCCTTAATTGAAGAACTTAAGAAATCTAAAAAACAATCAAATGCTTTTTTTTTTCAATAGCCTTGATGTCTTTCTATGGAAGGTACCTAAAAAAGTAGATGCCAGTTTGCAATGTTTGTTTGGTGTATAAACGCCACATTTTCTTGGTTTCTCTTTTCACCTAGTGCACATTGCCGATATGTTCCATGGAATTATATATTCTATTATATCTTTGGAGACCTCTGCGGTGTCACGTTGGTCCTGCTAGGAAAGCATCCTTCTCTTATTAAAGTTCCTTGACATTTCATTTTGGTGGAAGGTCAGCAGATTTGGCAGATAGATTCACCTTCTTCTGCACATGTCTCTGCTATGGCTCTGTGTCCTCAGCCTGGGAGCTTATGGAATACCCGAAATTGATTTTCTGCAGAATGATGACATTTCAGCTAAGGTTTGTGAATCTTGTTCCTTTTTGTCATTATTTTTCTTTTGTTGGTCATCATTCCTTAGCCTGGCCAAGTGCAGTTAGATGCGGGTCAACTAGTTTAACCACTTGAGTACTAGCCTGTGTATACCTTTTCATTACCAGGCCAAATTTCAGTGCCGTGATAGTTTGACTGGCATGCACTCCATCATTCAACACTGCATCCCAATTCATTTTAGAATATTTTAGACCTTTTTTTCGTGGCATTTAATAAATACACTTTTTAGTTTTATTTACTATATAAAGCAAAAAAATGGGCAGCACAGTGGCTAAATGGTTAGCACTTCCACCTGGCAGTACTAGGGTTGCTGGTTCAAATCACAACCATGGCATCACCTACCTGGGGTTTGCATGTTCTCCCTGTGCCTGCGTGGGTTTCCTCCGAGTACTCCGGTTTCCTCCCACACTCCAAAGACATGCTGGTAGGTTAATTGGCTCCTAGTATGTGTATGTATGAATGTAAGTTAGGGACCTTAGATTGTACGCCCCTTGAGGGTTAGGGACTGATATGAATGTACAATATATATGTAAAGTGCTGTGTAAATTGATGGTGCTATATAAGTACCTGAAATAAATAAATGCCAACTTTTTTTTTTTTTTCAAGAAAACTGTTTATCTTACTTTCCCGTATAATAAAAATGCCAGGACAGTATGAGCACCCCCAAAATTACCATTTTTTAGAAAGACACCCCAAGGTAATTTCTAGTGTCTAATTTTTGCCACAATTGAGAGGGTTAAAATATGGAGCACAGCGTCTAGATACTGAGATACACCGCTTCATTAATGTACTGGTCATACACAGAGGGAGGAGCCGGTGAAGGGGTTCATGTACAGGCTACATACAAGGGCAGGATGGAGATGAAGGGGTTAATGTGCAGGATAAGGAAGGTGAAGGAGTTAATATACAGTCACTACAGATGGAAATGGGATGTATGGCGAGGGGGGGAGGGGGGGAAGTTTGGGCAGTGAAAGTTTGAAGCGGAACTTCACCTTAAGGGCCGGTTCACACTATAGAAACGCAGTCCAGATGCGTTCTGGATGCATTTTTGCATGCGCGTTTTTGACGCATTTTTGGTGCATTTTTGATTATTGTTATACAGTATTTATATAGCGACAAAAAGTTTGCTAAGCGCTGTACAATATAGAGGGGGACAGTACATGAGACAATACAGTAACAAAACAATATACGAGAGGTTCGAGGGTCCTGCTCTTTCGAGCTCACAATCTAGATGCATTTTATACTCGTTCCAATGTGTTTTTATGCGTTCCAGTTAATTTTTTCCTCTTTTTCTTCAATTTAAATAGGGACATGTGCGTTCCAGTGCATTTTTGGTGCATTCCACTGTGCGATCTAATGCGTTTTACCGCGTTCCAGTACAGTTCTGTGCAGAAAAAATGCAGCCTGTTCTACTTTTTTTTCTGCAACCGCAAAGCACTGGAACTGCAAGCACTGATGTGAACTATGACATTGACAACCATATAACCTACTTTCTGTGCTTTTTGGATGCAGAAAAAAGCAACTGAAATGCATGGACTGTGAACTGGCCCTAAAGGGGGGACTTCTGCTTTATGCCCTTCTCTGCCCTCTTCTTCTGTTTTTGGCATTTTTTGGGGGGGAGGGAGTTTGTTTTTTCAGGTACCAGCTTCCCACTTCTGGTCGAATCGCCGCAATGACCCACTGGAAGTTCTTCCCCCGCCTGCAACCTTCTGGGACATGTCACAGGTCCCAGAAGGCTGCAGGACCATTCACAAAGCGCAGTGAGGCTTACGCATGCACAGAGGGCAGCCGGCTGTGAAGCCACAAGGAATCACAGCCAGCTTCCCACAGAAAACATGTCGGTGCCGGGGACCTGAAGACCGGCAAAGAAGCAGTTCAGGTGAGCACGGTGCAGGATCCCTGGACAGGTGAGAGTCTTTTATTATTTTTCTTTCGAAAAGGCTGAAGAACTGCTTAACAAAATATCTTGCATCAAAATGAATCAAATCAACTGCTGCCTTCACTTCATTCAAAAGATGATCTTATCTTCCCTTCCTCCATTGTGAGAGCAAGGGAAAAAGACTCTCAAATGTGAACTCTGGCAGTGGATTTGTGAATCCTCACTGCTTTTTCTTTTTTTCAGAAAGGCTTGGTGTTTCTCCAAACATGCATCATGACCTTGTTAAGTGAGTATGTTTTTGTCAGATAGAAAAGGCATCATTGATCCGGTTCTGTAATTATTATTACATCTTTAGCCACTTGCCTACCAGACACTTTCACCACCTTCCTGCCCAGGCTAATTTTCAGCTTTCAAAACTGTCGCACTTTGAATGACAATTGCGCAGTCATTCAACACTGTACTCATATGAAGTTTTTTTTATCATTTTTTGAAACAGATAGAGATTTCTTTTGGTGGTATTTAATCACCACTGGGTTTGTTTTATTTTTGAATAAACAAACCAAAAACAACTGAAAATTTTGAAAAAAAAAATTTTTTTTCTTAATTTCTGTTATAAAAATATTGTAAATTAGTAATTTTTTTCCTTCACTGATGTGCGCTATTGAGGCTGCAGTGATGGGCACTGATAGGCTGCACTGATGGGCACTGATGAGGGGGCACAGGTAGGTGGCACCGATGGGCATTGACAGTCATTACTGGTGGGCATTCACAGACATCACTGATGGGCACCTAAAGGCAGTACTCATATATGGCACTGATAGGCGGCACAGGTGGCACTGATTGACAGCACTCATAGGCAGCACTGACTGGCACTGATAGGTGGCACTGATAGTTGACATTGATGTGCACTGGTAGGCACTGATATGTGGCATTGATGTGCACTGACAGGTGGCACTGATGGGGCTACAATGATCATCAGGGCACTGATCATAAGTGCCCTGATGATCAGTGTCGATGTCCGCTCTGAGGAATGCTGATTACAGGCTCTCCTCTCCTCATGAGCTGTCGTAGTGTGACAGCTCGTGGGGAGAGAAATGCTGATAACCGATTGGACACAGCTGATCACATGACAGAACCGAAGTCATTGGCTCTTTCCACTGATCTGTGATCCGTGATCCCACAGTCATATGACGTCCTCCCAGAACGAGAGAACTGCCCTTGCGCCAGTCATTTCCTCACATGGTGGGCGGGAGGCGGTTAAATGTATTTTTTTCTAAATGCAAGCCTTTTCATGCCTAAATTTGACTTGGTATCAGCCTCTTGCTGTCCCTGTGCAGCAGAACTTACACTGGGGGAAGAAGAAGCAATACATGGAGACAATCTGATTGCTGCGAGCCAAGGGGCATGCTGAAAGGAGAGGAGAGCAGAGTAACAGATAGATAAGCTCATCCATGTGCTGCTTCTTCTTTCAATGTCCAATCAGAGGGCTAAGGTAGGCAGGGGACCTGTAAGTGAAAGTGATTCAGCAGAGAAAAGATCAGGTCATCTAGTGGACAGGGCCGTGGATGAGGGGGTATCACTGGTATTCCTGTATGGGGCCCAGGCAGCAGGGTGAATCAGATGTGGGCAGGGAGGATCATCGGTGCAGTGGGGGGGATCAATTACTGGAACCGATCCCCTGTATGGCACTCTCTGCAGCAGCTGAAAGCTGGCATCTTCTCTCTCTCCCTCCTGAAGGCTTTCACCTCACCCTTCAACTTTCGCCTGAAGTTCAGCTTTAAAACCCCACATAATTTAGTTCTCCTTTAAAACTGTTCCATTTTGGTTCCCAATCCCCAATTATCCTAAATAGGCTATCAAGAGCACTATGAGTTTCCTGCAGAACTTTGTCAGATCCCAGCATGACCACACATTACGATCTCGATAAATAAAAAACTGTGGTGCCCTAGCAGCAGGTGATACGTATATCTGCTGATTATGTTACGACCAGTTTTCCGGCTGCTGTAATATTATTCATGGATGTTCTGCGCTACTTGCATCGTTATCGAAGGTTTATGTAAATATTAAGCCGGTTTATTAGTTTTTATTTTCGGTCTTACCCACCAGCAAAAGGACCAGGAAGGAACGAGGTCTCCTGAGACCGGATCATCAAACACAGGTTGCAGAGGAGGCTGACTTGACATTTCTGCAGAAGCCAAATAAGAGCCATTACCAGCCAAGGGATTGTGGGACAGCTGGGCCCAACGTAAGCTACGAAATCACAAAATTAACTGGGGACCAGACATTTGTTTAATAAAACTGCCCTTTTCCGCATGCGGGTGAGCTTTGTTCTGCCTGCTAACAGTCAGCTGTGACAACATCGCCCAACACGCTGATAGGTATTATTAATTTCCATTGTGTGATAAATTGTGACTATTTTTTTACATCAGTCAATGGCCTTGTACATGAATTATTAAAACTGTGCCAACTGTCTATTAAGATTTATATCTAAGATTTTGTATCTACCCCAAAGTGGAGCAAAATAAACAATGACATATATAATAGGGGTGTCAAAGACGAATTCTCCTGCGCTCTAGGGCTCAGACAGGTGGCGAACAGATGGAACCAGGCCTGGAGGGATCGTCCACTAATGCATAAAGGGCTGTGCAGCTCCAAAACAAGGCTGGGGAAGCCCAATCAACACTGCAGAATGAAATGAAAACGAGAAGCGCACCAACCTTGCGCATTACCTCAGTAACCAAAATTTATTAATTGTAAAAAATATACTCACAAACAGCGAATGAAATCAGGCATGTAAGTCCTCACAGGGACTTGAAGATAACATGAGTCCCATCAGGGGAGTGGGTGTTCAGTACAGCTGACGCGTTTCGAAGGGGGTCCCTTCTTCCTCAGAGCTCTGAGGAAGAAGGGACCCCCTTCGAAACGCGTCAGCTGTACTGAACACCCACTCCCCTGATGGGACTCATGTTATCTTCAAGTCCCTGTGAGGACTTACATGCCTGATTTCATTCGCTGTTTGTGAGTATATTTTTTACAATTAATAAATTTTGGTTACTGAGGTAATGCGCAAGGTTGCGCTTCTCGTTTTATTTCATTCTGCATATATAATAGGGTGACCAGACGTCCCTGGATTCTGGGGACAGCCCTAATTTTAGAGGCTGTCCTAGAAAAAACAGTCCCCAGTTAAAAATTTTTTCCTGCAATAGGAACGTGTCCCTGACGTAGGCTTTTGGGGTGGAGGGGGCCCCCCTTGGCTCCACTCTAATGAAGCTGGCGTCCAGCGGTCTGTAGCTATGAACCCAGTGCATGCTCGAGTCTCCCAGAGGCAATGTGGAAGGTAGCTGTGATGTGGGGTAAGCTGCTGGGTGACTTGTCCTCCAGCTCATGGATGGTGCTGGACCTGATTGGCTTGGCCTCCCTGCACACAAGGATCCAACATATAGACTACCTAGACTCCGTTGTGGGTACCAAGGGAGCGGGCTTTTCCCGGGTGATTCTATTTATGTTCCTCTTGGCCCCGCCTGTGCCCAAGATCATGTTGGTATTTGTGGTACAGGTCAGTTGTTCCCTTACATGACTTGTAAAGGGGATGTAGTAGTAAGGTGGTGGTGGTTTGTCACTTCCTCCATGTTTCCAAATTAACTCATTGGGCACCAAGTCTAGGAAACACAAGAAGCGTACCTCAAGGTGCGTTCTTCTGGGCTACGGTAGGCTCCTTGAATAGGGTCACTTTGCACACATAGGGGTACCTTTGCTGTGTGCCGTTTTCACCAATGCCCTGGGGCAAGGCTGAGGTTGTCATCAGGAAATACTCAATCTTAAGGCAGGCCTCTACTCTTAAAGATGAACGTACACCATGTACACTTGCACAACAACTGTTCTCCAGTTAACTCTTGGGTCTCTGTGTAAATGTACATCTTCCACTGTAACTTGCAATGAGGAAGGCTGTGCAGAACACTGACCACAGCCACCTGTTTAGCATTTCCAACAACTAGCCAGCCAGCTTGGAACTTTGCCATGCGCACAGTGCGAGCTCCAAATGTAACTTTAACTCTTGAACATCTACACCTCAGTATAGAATGGAGACCTCTGCATTGCAGTTCTGTTGTGGTTGCTAAGGGAGCCGGAATGCGGCATAGGGAGTGTTGACAACATTTCCCTCGCAGCTAGAAGCAATTCCACCTATAACAGGTACACATTTATGACAGGCTGCTTGCTAGCTGTACGTTCCATTGCTTGTGGCAACTACATGTATAATTTGTATTAAAATGACTTTTAGTTAACTCTTCAAGTGGCAGTGACCCAAGCTGTACTCTAAGTGTGTGATAGTGCCAGTTACTTGCAATGCACCCCTTTCAAGGACTTCAGACCAGGCAGAAGGAAAAGTTTAATGCTTTACTTGAATTAAGTGCAACAAAAAGAGTCCAAAAAGCAAAACAGTTCAGCAGAACTTGATTCAAACGGTCAACATCCTAAATCCCTAGTCCTTACTCCTAACCAGGCTATATGCTGCCCCGGCATACCTGCAGCGCTACAGAGTCTATATAATTGCAGTGTCCACCAGAGGCATTCTCTAGCAGCTAGTGTCTTCAGGGCGAACCCCAGTTCATCTGATGACTTTGCATCTTGGTTATAGAGAGTGACATTTTGTACTTCTCCCAGTTGCAGCTCTCCTTGGGAAACCGGGAACACAGTGGCAAAACACAAAAGGCAAGAACCAGGCCCCATTTCCTTCTCTTTCTCCTTCTCTTTCTCCCTTTTGACTCAACCCACTCTCCCCTTTTTTTATTTACACAAGTGCAGTGGGTTAGACCCAAAGATCTCGCCAAAAGCCAAAGAACCAGGAAAGGCATTAAATCCTTCCCTCCCACCTGGGGAAGCACCTATTTAGCTCATTTCAACCTGCTTACAGGCTAGCAGTAAATACTACACCTCCCAAGATTCCCAGTGCTCTGCATTAAAATTTTACTAAATCCAGGACCCTGCATTCACTATATCTGGTCTCCCAGGACCCTGCATTCACTGTATCTGGTCTCCCAGGACCCTGCATTCACTGTATCTGGTCTCCCCGGACCCTGCATTCACTATATCTGGTCCCCCCGGACCCTGCATTCACTATATCCGGTCTCCCAGGACCCTGCATTCACTGTATCTGGTCTCCCCGGACCCTGCATTCACTATATCCGGTCTCCCCGGACCCTGCATTCACTATATCCGGTCTCCACGGACCCTGCATTCACTATATCTGGTTTCCCACAGTACACAAAACATGTAAATGCAATTATTTTAGTAAATATAAACTGCTAAATACCCTTTCTCATCTTCAGTGTCCAGCTGAGCACTGGTTAATCTTGCGGGAGAAGTTTTCCTTCTCCGCTGACTGTCCTATGAGGCTGCATAACCCCTGACCCATTGTCTGGATGGTGCTGATTGGCCCTGTGCCGATCACATACACCCTTCCAAAAAGAAAAACTATCTAGCAACACACACCAAACTGAGCATGTGCAGAGTGTCTCCTAGGGCTCTATACTATCATAGATGATTGGGGACAGTAAAAGAAGGGGAAGATCAGAGAAGACAGGATCAAACAGCCTTTTTACACAATGCGCATGATTAACTCCTTAGGTTCCACATTGAGTATAACAAGCATGCTTTGCAGCATATACAGAGTGATTTTACTGTTGTGGGTTTAGTAATGATTTAAGGTCTATGGGCCCATTTAACTGTGGATCTGCCCCTCCTGGCTGGAGGATAACTGTACAACACAACATCAATATCTCTGCAATAGGAAGAATAAATAGAAAAAAAATTACATCCTTATACACGCTATTGTAGTTCAGAACTTGGATACATGTGATTTTTTATTTTTTTTTTTTTGTCTGGAGTCTTGCTTTAACTCTTCCTCTTCTATCTACTCTAAAATAAATTAAAAAATGTAGCTGGAATTTGGTTTTACATTTTCCTATGAGAAAAAGGTCAGCTGTGACCGGTTCTCTTTAAATTTGTTCCTTGCTTTTCGCTTTGAAAATCAGCATGTATTCATGTCCCGTATATACAACTTTATTGTATTCCAATTTATTTT